CTCCCAGCGCGTCAGGAGAGCCCCCGGGAGCCTGTGCTACCCAGGCTCCACCTAACTCCACCCGCCATCTCCACCGGAGGCTAGCGCCACCCTCCCTGCCCAGCTCTGCAGGCTGCTCCATCTGCCTCCCGCCGATGCCTGCACTGTGGGGAGGCCGTGGGCCACTCCTCTGCCACCCTGACTGCTCGGGACGGGCCCTGCGAGGGTGGGGTGCAGGCGTCCAGTCACCTCTAGGGCATACAGGGCCACGTGGGGGTTCTTGTCACTGACTTTCTTCTTGATGGAACTCACAGCATATTTTGCCCTGAAAGGAAAGGGCGTTGGTAGAAGCGCAAAGAGATGGGAGAAATGTCTCAGCAGCTAGAAGAGAGAAGTCCAGCTCCGCCTGGCCCTCGAGGCCCCCACGCTGTACAGAGGCCTCCGGCTGCGGCAGATCTCAAAACCCCCAGCGCCAAGACCCCACTCCGCCCTGGTGCGGGGCCCTGAGGGCAGTGGGCACAAGCTCCCCTCACTTACTGTGTGTCGCCCTGGCGGATCAGGTCACAGATCTGCAGGATGGACTCCCAGTCAGTCTCCAGCAGAAGCTGGCTGGTTGCTTTGTCTAAGACGGAAACGCACCATCACGGGGGCTCGTCCTGCTGGGGTTCCCTCGGGGGCCCCCAGCTCAGCCACAGGGAGGAGCTGCCTGCACCCCGTTTCAAACGCTCAGACACAATGGAAAACCCCGTGCAAATCCTCCCGGCGCAGTGAGAGCCGTGGGAGCGCTGGCCTGGCCCAGCGAGGCAAACGGCTTGGACAATAACAGAGACCCCGGCCCGCGCGGCCCCTGGTTCAGCGTCGACCTATGAACCAGGAGGTCAGGGCACGTGCCCGGGTTGTGGGCTCAATGATTTTTCTCTCGTTACGGATGTTTCTCTCTCTCCCCTTTCCCTTCCTCTCTGAAGACAATAAAAATACATTAAAAAAATACAACAACAGAGGAATCCTGTCGTGTGCCTGTTGCCAGCCTCTGGCCAGCGCTCCCCACGAACCCGCTTCTCGCACAGCCTCACGGGCTGGGTCCCACTTTCGTCCCTTTCGGGTAAACCAGACAAACCGCGGCGGAGCGGAGAGGGCGCTGCCAGGGGTCACACAGCTTGTGGGGACACAGCCAGGACCCGACCCCGGGCCGGCTGACTGCCGACGGGGACCTGAGCCCTGGTTTGGGGAGGTTGGGCCTCGCTGGTGAGATTCCCGCGGGGCCAGGCTCCGGAGCAGCACCTGGCCTCCGTCCTCTGCTTCAGGGACTGACCTAGAGGATTCTCCAGAATCCCTCCCTCCCATCACGTGCGAGGCTCCAGCCCTGCTGGCACCCTCCTCCCTCCAGACGCCAACCACCCAGCAAGGCCTGGCCCCTTCGCGCTGATCTGCTGGGAACTCCCGGGTTGG